GGATGTACTGGTGGGGATATAGACTAGAAGATAAAGTCTCCTCCTCCTCCTTAAAAGACTCGTGATATAACTGTAACAACAAGGCACCATGGGTCACCGTTGTTGTTGTTATGTGCCATCGAGTCGGACCCGACTCATAGCAACCCTCCTTGGGTTGCCGAGGCAGTATCACTATGGAAGTAGATTGCCCAACCTTCCTTCTGAGGAGTGGCTGGTGGGTTTGAACCGCCAGCCTCCTGGTTAGCAGTCAAGTGCCTTAGGCACTATGCTACCAGAGCTCCCATTAGGGAGGACAATTCTCAAGAAGCAAGTCAATGGACAAACTGATCACACAGGTGGCACCTGGGCCCATTATGATAGAAGGTAAGGTGAGGCCTGACACCACAGTCATAATTCATTCATGAGCTTGGTCTGCCCTTATACACATTCTGTCAAGGATATATTTTTTTTCCCAACTCACCTGCTTAACCAGCCTGAATCCATAAGACTGAAGTATTTTTTCAGAAAGACGCTAAATAGCCCTTTCTTTAGGCCACTTTTCCATCCCACTGAGGCCACAAATCTGTATCAATTGTGATAAAAAGAGGGAAACTCCAGATGTGGTGAGCTGGAAGAACCCCAGGGCAATTCATTACGAAGCTTTAGACACTTTTCCTCTTGTTATGAAAATGATTGCAATCTGTTCTTCAGCGTGTGTTTCAGATGAATTTCAACATTATAAAGGCTTTTTATAGGGGGGGTGAGGGGGATAATATTACTTGTGTAAATCAATCCTGATCAGTTGCATTTCACTTTCATTCAGAAAATATCAAGTCACATGAACACTGTTTGAACTGTCTTAACTCTACCCTACACGGGCTTGTCTTTTAGCATGCTAAAGACAGAGCTGGGCAGCAAGGAGCTCCCCCGTCTGTTCTGCTGGACGAGCTTTGTCTCAGGTTTGTCTTCCAATGAGAAGGCAGAGGAAGGGGGCTGCTGTGCTCCCACGCTGTTTCTAGAGCTGGTCAAGCGCTGCTTCCTTCTACCTGAACATGGGGTCACATCAAAAATTTGAAGCAGTGATATGTTTCAGATGGAGGGGGCTTTTTATTAGTGGAATAAAGTGCCTTACGGAAATCACAGGAGAGCAATGATTCTAGAGTGTTCTCTTTACAGAGAGAGTAAGTGAGGCAAAATTAAACTTGGAACTTCTTGCCCTCGAGTCCATGAGAAATATGTGTTAATAAACATCCCTCCAGGCGTCTCTGACAGTCCTCATATACAGCGATCCTTCTCCTTCTGGGCCTGCTACCCACTATGTGCACACTGACATCTACACTCAATGGCATCTGGACCCAATGACACAGTGCCCACCTTCCTTTTGTCTCTCCCATTCAGCTGTTCAAGTCTTTGAATGCGGAAACCTTTCACTCTGAATCATAAAGCCTTTAGAATCAAATCAGAAGATGCAGATGCTGGGGAAAACCTCAGGGATTGCCTCTAGTACAGCTCTCTGACTTCACTGACAATGAGGAGGAAAGCGAGAGAAGTGAAACTATACGCTCAAGGTGACATGGCTAGAGCTATTAGCAGAACTGCTTTGGGAATCTGTGTTTCTGACTCTCAGACCAAAATTAACTACCCAGCTTTTCCTCATTAGCCCCACCCCCAATTATGGTGCTTCTAGAGAGCCAGGTGCATAGATGGAGTTAATATGGCTGAATAAGGCCTGGGCTAGAGCCAGGATTATCCCACATGCTTAAGGGAGCTGCGCATTTGGAAATGTGTTAATATCCAGGCCCAAGGAACCCATTTTATTTATTTTTTATTGTGATTTGGGTGAAAATTTACAGAGCAAATTCACTTTCCATACAGCAGTTCGCATATACTTTGTCTCATGACATTGACCACAATTTACCACAATGCAACAGCTCCCCTCCCACTTCCTCCCCAGAGTTACTTCTTCCCTGTGTCCATCCCTTCATGCACTCCTGCCCCCTGAGCTGTCTCCCTGTGCATAAACAGCCCTTATTTCTCCCTTGAGTGTTCTCTCCAAGGAATGTATCTACCTCAGGTACATGTTCAATCCATATGCCTGTCTTTTGTTTGGCTGGAAGCCACAGGTGTGGGTTCAATTCCAGACCTGAAGGGCAGCTAGGGGCCATAGTCTCAGTGATTCCACCAGGCTCTTTCGGACCAGCACACCTGGTTCCCCCCCTTTTTTTCCCCAAGGAACCCATTTTAAATCCCCAAATTACTCTAAATCTACACTGCCCAATAGGGTACCACTAGGCACTTGTGGCTACTGGGCACTTTGAATGGTGCTAGTACAAAATGAGATGTGTTCAAAGTAAAAGGATGAAAAATACCTCACTTAATAGTTGCTTTATATTGAGTACATGGTGAAATGATAGTATTTTAGATATACTGAGTTAAATAAGATATTAAAAGTAATTTCACCTGCTTTTCTTTTTTTAATGTGGCTTAATAGAAAAATTTAAATTACATGTGTGTGTGCCTGGCATAATATTTCTATTGGAGAGGGTTGTTTTAAAACATAGCTAATGGTCTAATGGTCCTACCCCCCCACCCCCCCACCCACTCCTTCCCAAAAGACTTGAATCTCCTGCCAGCAGACATTACAGAGGGTGAAAAGAAACAGACAGCATCCAGGATGTGCTCTTAGCCTAAAGATTACTTACTCATCCCCTTCCCACCCCTGCAGACTGCCCTGTCATGTACCACATCCTAGAAGCGATGCTCAGGTCCCTCCTGCTCAGCCTCTTCCAGAAAACAATTCACGAGTCACCCAAAGGCTTATTTTTCTCTGGATAGAGTCGACCAGCCTACAGGGAATTTCTATTTGACCTCTATTAACACT